CTACATTGTAGTAGGAAAAACAGAAAATAAACCCAAGGACCCGGCCTCCTTAGTTAGGTGGTCTGTGCTGCGGGAGCAGTGGAGCAAATGTGGGATGAGTGAGGGGTGGGTGACACTGGTGTGGGAAAGACTCCAATCCCTGAGAACTTTAGCCTCGGGTGACAGGTGAAGGGAGCTACTGAGGATTGCTCATGTCCACAGACAGACCCAAATCACACCAGCCAGAGGCAGGACACACCTGGTGTGTTCCACGCATGGCCCACGAGCTGGGTGGTGGTGGGGTGGAGGGAGTGGAGCCAGGGAGGGAGAGGGGCTGGGGGAGGGGAGACCTCAGGGTTAACAAGGCAGAGACAGATTGCATAGGCCTTGTAAATGGCCACATTAAAGAGCAGTGAGAGGAAACTCTATAAATGCCCAAATGTATAAACAGACACAGCATTGCACTGAACATCATGAGCTTTCCCCAGATTAGGCAAAGGTAGGCAGAAGTGATTTCTTTTATTAGAAACCATATGGCCGACTGAATGCTGCAGAGCTGACTGTAGTAAAAGAGAGGCTTATCGGGCTGGCACTGGGACAAGCCAATATTGCTGATTGCATTCGGCTCACACATGCTGGGCACCTGCTCAGCTACCTGGCCCTGAGCATCTGCAGGCACTGGCCACTTCCTCCATCTAGTGAGGAGCCTGATGGGAAGTTTAAAACGCAAAATCCAACTGAGGCCAATTAAGTCAGAAACTCTGGCGGTGGGATAAACATCAGCACTTTTAAAAATTGATTCTCAGGGCTTTAGTGTACTTTAAAAGTCACTTGCTCAACCCCTACTGCCCATGGAGAATGGAAAAATGGTATGTTTTCTCACTTAAAATGTTAGCCTGGCATTCAGGGCTCTTTGCTGTTCATACCTACTTTTTACACCCATCCTTCCATCCTGTTCCTGACTCGAATAATCTTCCAGAGTTCAGGCCCCATGTGAAGTCTTCTCGGGGTACCCTACCTGGAGGGGTCCCTCCGCACTCACCTCCTGATGCACCTGCTCTAGACCAGGGTGGGGCAGACAAATCTTCAGGTATTGTGTGCCATAAGGTCTCTGGTGCAGCCACTCAGCTCTGCAAGTGCAGAAGTGCAATTACAGAAAGCAGTCCTGGCCAGTAAGTAACAAGTGGGTGTGATTATTTTCTAATAAAACTTTATTACAAAAACAAGGCCCCCAAGCCTTTCAGGCCCTACTCTGGGTTATTGACATGACACTTATCCTATCCAACCTTGTATTATTGCAGATATTCTTCTCTGCTTCATGTCTCCAGCTGGATCCTAGGTCCTAGTTAGAGAAGAGGCTATTAACATTCTCCAGTGCTTTCAAACAAGACTTGATAGGAAGACCTTGACTTAGGAGTCTTCCTGAATCATTTCCATCCCTCATTCCTGTTCTGATTGCAGCTTTATCATCCCACACACCTCCACCCTCACCTCACAAAAGCAGACTTCCTGATTCTCCCCATCCAGGCTCTATCAGGCACATCCTGAACCCAGTGGTGAGGAAATGCACACAGTGACATTCAGTGAGTCCCCTAGGCCACATCTACTGGGAACCCAGTCTTCATCATGTTGCTTTGGAAGATGTAGATCATCACTACTTCCTCTCCAAAGATAGTGGTGGGAACAGCAAGTCCTGATGGTCAAAGGTTAGGTAAAAATTAATCCACAATGGGGACCCACCCAGAGGTGGCAAGGGAAGTGAGGTAGAGGAAGGGCTGGGTAACTATGAGAGGGAGGACCAGTGTCTTTGATGAGGACAGGGAGAGGAAGAAGATATTTATCCTGACCCTCTTCAAAGGGACGTGAGTTGACATCTGTTTCCTCATGTATAATGAGGCTACGGTTTTATGTCACAAGGAAAATGCTTTTGATTTCCTCTGCTCTTAAGAAAGGTCAGCATTCTGTGGTTGTTCATGACACATGCCTATGTACTTCTGTCTTCTTTTCTCAGAGTAAAATCCAGAGTAGAAAATAGAGGCCCCATAGGGACTGCGGAGAGCTCTGTAGCACAGAGTATAGAAGTAAGTCAATATTTCAGAGGGACTCACAGGAAATAGCACAGCAGTTCTTTGGACAGGAGTGCACATCCATAAATATAAAAAAACACTGGAGCATAAGTGACACTTAAAATAGCTGGACCAAGAGACCCCGGCAGTAAATCTCCCTGCCTCACCAGCGTTCCCATCTGTCGCCGTCTCGAGCATCCAGGCTTGGGCTAATTTTAAGACTCCAGATAGTCAGGAAATGGAGACCTTGAGAAAACTCATTCCCACTCATTCCTGCCCTGTCCTGGCACCAGGACACAATTCCCAAGCCCCCGTGCCCTCCCTGTCACATCTGACAGAATTGACATGAATGAGTCTCCTGTCCCTGAAATAGGTACTGAAAGTCCACTGTGGGAAAATGAGGAACTCTGCACTTTGCCTAATAAACCCTTCCTCAGTGCTAAAGTGGCCCTGGGAAATGCCGCTCCACCTCTGTGGCCCTTGTGTTTGGTGCTGCTGCAGTGGTGGTGGTACAGCTGGAGCAGCACAGAGAGAGCAAAAGAGAAGTACACAGGCAGGATTGGGTGACCCTCCTTGAGACACCAGGATGAACATAGAGCAGAGGGACAGGTTTCTGATCCCACCCCAGCACTTGCCTGTGGAGCCCCTTTATGTGCAAATAGTTAACAGTGATGAATCAAAATTCAACAGAATGGTGTCTCCAATCAGTTTGTAACCTTCCACCTTGTCATATACTCTGCTGTGTTTTATTAAAGTTCAGAGGAGTTGGTTAGTATTATAGAAATAGAGTAAATTTCACCCCCTACCATAATTTACTATGGTTTCTTCTTTTTTATGAAGCAGGGGAAATACTGTAGATTCTGCCTTATCATAATAAGAGTTTTAAAACCATCTTGTTGGGAAAAAGGTAAAAATGTACACAAAGCAAAACCCAACCATACCAGTGTACTCCTTGCTAGGATTTTAATGGCACCAAAATGTGATTTTGTTTCCTTCTATCTCTTTGGCCACACATACTTTAACTTCCTCTCACTGTGGCCCTTGGACGTTGGCTCTGGCATTATAACCCTAAGAGCCAGCAAGCCCCTTTGATCTTAAGCCCCCACAGTTAAAAGCAGCTCATTTAACTATACTTTTCCCTTGAGAGTTAGAGAAGAAAAGTATGCTTTTCTTTGGGGCATCAGTTTAAATATACATTTTTAAAATTTATTTCAAGAAAAGTACCCTCAAGACGCATAAGAAACTGGCAAACTGGTTGCCTGTAAAGAAAAGAACCCTGTAGTCGAGGGAGAAGAGTATAAAGAAGCATTTTTACAATGCTCCCTCTGGTACCTTTCAAACTCTGAACCAAGTATATGCATTAATTATTCAAGAATACATGACGAAATCTATTTTGGAAATTTGCTTCAATTCCACAAATACGTCTTGCACCAACTGTGGCCTTCTACCTCCCATGTGCCAAGACCCCTGCAATATCTCCACCCTCAGTTTATAGATCTGGTTTCCAGCTCCCCACACACCAGCACACGAGGGCTGATGGTTCTGAAGACACTTTCCCTGTGCTGGGAGGAAAGAGGCCAAAGAGCTGGAATGAGCCACAGTCACATCTTGGCACAATTAAAATCCTAGCAAGGAATACCAGGTAGAATTGAGTTTCTTTTTTTTTTAAGATTGATATGATTGATATTCACAATTACAAAAAAACAGTTCATATTATATACAGAAATTTATTTCATTTGCAAATTACCCAGACTTAAGGGGTTTTTTTTCTTTTTGTGTGTGTGGGAACAATAAGTACAATGTGAAATTTCTAATGTGAGTAAGGAGAATTGACAGCCATGCCTCTACAAATGTGAGAATGTTAAGTTATCTTCCGATGATGGCCTATCATCCTCAGCATCAATATGTCAAAATTAGTAAATAGAAAACTTGACAGCTAATGTATGGTGAGGTAATTAATTAGATTATTAGTGGCAGATTCTGTACTGCAAATGGTTTCCAAGTGATGGTTTTCTGCCTTAGTAAATTTTAAGAGGCAATATTCTAGAGCTTAAAATGTGGGAATATTATTTAATGAATGATACTATTCACTTAGCACAGCAGTGGTTTCTTTTTCTTTTGAAATAATATTAAAATATCTGTTTTCTCCATTGTCATTTAGAAATTGGTACTTTTTATTGACTAGCTCGGGTATGGAAGACATAATAAATTATCCACAAAATTTTGGTGCTACCTTTTAAATTTCACAGAGGGGCACCAGCTCTGTGTTTAATCAGTTATGTTCTCTTATTGTGATTTTAAATGTCATTTTTACAAAGTTTTAAATTTTCACTTTAAAGCTAATTTAGGCAAGTTCATGTAGTTATTTTGTGAAGCACACTTTTCTTAGTTTGCTTCTTACATGTTAGAGTTACAGGGAGGACAAACAAGACTTTGGGTAAAATGTTCTGATCATATGTAATTTAGGAGACTTGTGAGACTATGTTTACACATGAGATAGAACAGATAGGTCAGGGAAATGAAGAAGCTTAAGATTTGAGGTTGCTTATAGTACTTATAAATTCGCATTCTGTCTGCTTTATAGAATGGTGGAAGTCTGTAGGATTTAGCTTGACTACCTCATCATAGATTTAATCTACACTTGATATCCATATTATAATAAATGTTTCATATGATCTGTGCTGCACAAGTAGGTGGATAACATAATAATTTCCTAATCATATCCTGAATATAACTTGTAAAAACATGTTGATATTAAAGATATCTGAGATTAAGCTAGCATATAAAAATGTTAATAAAAATATTAAAATATCTTAGATATTTGGGGGGGTAAAGCAAAGATGAAAATTACCTTTGCACCTATAAGTCACTATAGCTAATCATATTGCTCTAAGATTTTGGTGATACATAAAAGTGGAAAGAACAGAGATGAATACAATACACTTTTCCAAAGACTGAATTTTCCAGATCATTTAATCCTCGGTAGTGTCTTCAAAACTCTCCAACAGAGTTAACGATGACAGATTTTCACATTATTGTCCTCACCATAACCTCCAGGGATGCTAACTCTAAAGCAGTTCCTGAGAAGGCAACAAGTTCTCCTCTACAGAAGAATTTTGCAAGCAATCCAGCAAGTTCCAAATGTGTCTGATCACCAATACTTGAAGAACCTTAGCCACGTTATTGCCGCTTCTTAGATCCATGAGGGTTCTTAATCATGGCTGTAAACCAGGATCACTGACAGAGTTTTTTTAAAAGCTCAGTGGAAAAACAGCACCACCAGTGTCCCTCATCCAAGTCCGGAAATCGTCCTGGGAGATCCATGTGCTGTCTCTTTTACTCCGAGTTTGTCTCACAGACGAGTTCGCTTGTGGATCCGATTTACGTCCACGTTGGGCGCCAAATGTAGGGAACAGGGAAAGGGGACGTTACTAGAACCTCTGCAGTAAGTCCTAGTCTCCTGCGAGCCACGGCAGCACAAGGTGAATTAACTTAGTATACAGGAAAGGTAGAAAAAATGAGTCTTGGAGAAGAAGCTGAGCTTTGGGCCTGATCAGTGCTGCTCTGGGCAGAAAAGACTGAGTTTCATTTTTCATTATGAGAGGCATTTTGTAGGACATCCCCATATGAGGGTTGTGGTAACATTCCTAAAAATAGAAAAGGATTTTCACTGTCTTTGAAATCTATAGAGTTTTAAAAGAGGTTTTGCTGACTACCTGCTGTTCCCCACCCACTGTAGCCTATCAAAGCAAAGTGTAGAAAGCTGATCAGGCCACAGGTATGTTAGGCCAAAGGAAAAAATGGTGATAATAATGATTGTACTCTTATTCGTGGAATATAATCTAATATGTCTATATCTGCTTAAAAGTTCAAACTCTTTCACCCTTCACCTTTAGTACCTTATCTCTGAAAAGTATGTAGAAAGAAAAATTTAACTCCAAAAGCATCATTCCATCAAGAATCTTTTTCTGTGGAACTCCATTATGATTATGGAATTCTTCATTTCTCTGTTGGCAGTGCTGCTCAAAAATAATGAGCTCCCTCTATGTTTTGTTGCCAAGGAGATAAGACCAAAATGCATTCAAGGTCCTTCTGGAACCTGTCAGGGACCATTGTATGGAATATGTGACTCTTTGAAGTGGTATCGGAAGAGATAAACCAGCACCAGTCCATGTTTCTGTTATCCTGCCAGCTTTCCGAGCCCAGACAAAGATGTAGGCCCTGCAGAAGATGACCACAGCTTCCCTGTGTGTGCAGTAAAGACTGCACAGCCTGTTCAATTCTCTGCTTCTAATCTCATTGCTCTCTGCCTTCATGAACTTTGCTGGCATCTCAGACCCTCACTCCATACCACAGTTCAGAGAAACATTTATCAAGGCAATTCAGAGGCACACCAGATTTTGCTGAAGAGCTTCTGCTTAACACACTGAAATCATCTGTAACATGGTCTGACTGCAGAGAGGAAAAAAGTATTACAAAAGTTAAAGGGAAAGAAAAGTGAAGCTTTTGTGAAGTAACCGTGGCAGAGGTTTTCCTTGGCTGGCTGGCTGGCTGGCTGGCTTGTTGGCTGGTTGTGGACCTGCACGTGTTCTATACAAAACTTGATGTTATTATAAAATAGTATTTTGATCAATTAAAATACAGCCTGTCATCTAAACCTGCCAGTTCCACATCCAAGGATTAAACCAAAAACAGTCAAAAATTAGTAACCAGAAAAAGTTTGTACTTACACTGAATATGTACAGATATTTTTGTTGACATTCCCTAGACAATATAATACAACATAGCATTTACATAGCCTTAGGTATTACAAGTAATCTACACGGGACTAAAGTGCTCAGGAGGATGTGTGTTATATGCAGATACTACACCATGTACACAGGGGACCCGAGCATCTCAGCTTTCAGTGCCCAAGAGGGCCCTGGCCCGGTCTCTGATCAATTTGGAGGGACAGCCGTGTAAGCTTTGCCTATTCAGACAATTGTAATTCGGCTAATTAAACTTCACTTTAAATAACTTTTAGTTTGATTAACAGCAATTGAATGATAAACTTGCTCTTGCCGATTTTTTTTTTTTTTTTTTTTTTTTTTTTGGTACCAGGGATCAAACTCGGGTCCTTGAACTTTTGAAACAGGCAGCATAACCACTGAACTAAATCCCCAGCCCTCTTGCCGAATTTTAAGAAAGATGTTTTTAAATCAGAGGAGAAATCATCAGCATTTGCATTTTTTAAAAAGTTGTTATTTACAGACTTTGAGTTGTCTGTAGGATTTAGTGACTAGAGAAGACACTTATTTTCAGAGCAGAAACGAGTGGAGAAAGGAGAAAGTATTCAGAAGCCACGATGGGTGGGAGGTGAATCTGAGCCACCACCAACTTTGTGTCCTGGATACTCACTACTCTGTCCTCCACAACCCAAGGCTTTGGAACATATGCCAGGCTTTTCTTTCTCCTGTGGTTTTCACATGTGGTTGTCTTTCTTAATTTGGTATAAAAATGTCTTTTTTCTTTAGTGTACAGTACTTTAACTTTGAAATAATCTGTTTTACACACAAGTTGGAAGTATAATACAAAGAGCTTTTTCTCCCTGACCCATTTCACACTGAGCTGCTGACCCCACCCTGTTCCTTTACAGTTTGTCCATTGTGTCCGTACTGTTGTTAGCAAAATAATGCAGTCACACATTGCATTTAGTTGTCATGTCTCTTAAGTCTTTCCAAACCTGAAACAGTTCCTTGGACTCCCTTTGACTTTTATGACTGTAATACTTTTGAAAATTCCAGACCTGTTTTAAATGTGTCCCACTATTTGGATGTGTCTGGCATTTCCTTGGAACCAGGCTGGAGTTGTGCATCTTGGGCAGAAACATCCCAGGTGTGATGCTGGGCTCTCCTCACTGCACCCAACCACATTATCACAATTTCTTCTGTAAGCTGCTGCTGATGTGAATTCCATCACCTGATTAAGGTGGCACCTTTCAGGCATTTGTATTGTAAAAGTATTCTTTTTCTCTTGTAATTAATATGCATTTTATAGGGAGGCACTTTGAGATGATGGTAAATATTCTAATCCTTGCTGAATTTACCACTCATTTGCTTCTGTCTACATGAATCATGGGTTCCAGTCTTACCCCATGGACTGTAACCTTTTGCTGTCCTCCTTTATTTTTTGTAAAAAACAAAAAAAATCCCAGCTTCAGCCAGTGAACCTTAAAGCAGCTGCTGTTTCTTTTGACACATCCATACCCTTCTTTGAGCACTTCTCACTTTGTGGCACAGGAGATGTTCTTGGATCATCCTGAACCTTTTCTGCTCTAGCCCTGAAGAACAGTATTAAAAATGAAGATGTCATTCTTAGGTGTACTTGTTGCTATCAGAGTGTCGCTATTTTCAGTGCATACAGGTATGGATATAAGTATGCAATGGCACCTTGGCTCACAATTAATTTGTTCTATGATTTTGGAAAAGATGGCCACATTTGTGTTTGTGTGGGAAAGATGGCCGTGGTAGTGTTTGTCACCCGATGCAGAGTTTGCAACCAAAAACAAACTTGCCAAACGTTTCTGTTTGCAAACCAGATTGTTTGCAAACATAATTGTTCATGAACTGAGGTACCCCTGTCTGCATGTATGTGAATATACACACACCACTTCCACATTTGTCTATACATCAAACCATGAATTTTCTCTTATACCTCTAATTCTGATCCAACAACACAGGATTCTTCCATCTTTTCTTTCCATATCTGTAATTATCTGGTTCCCATTATTCTTAATATATTGTTTGATTGACCCTCTCTGCATAAACAGTCTCCTATCACTGCTGCCCTCATCCACACAGAGACCCCTTCCTCATCTGACTCAGGCTCTCAGACTCTTACCAGGTTACCACGATGGCAGAGTCCATTTCCAGTTGCTATGACACAATACCTGAGACACAATAATTTACAAAGAAAAGAGGCTATTTTGTCTCATGGATCTGGACGATGAAAATCCAAGAGCACAGCACTTGTGTCTACTCACCTTCTGGTGAGGGTTTCTTGGTGCTGCTTCGTTGCATGATGGAAAGCAGAAGATCAAGTAGATGTGTGTGGAAGAGGGGAAAGGAGGCTGAAGTCCCAAGATAGCGAACCCACTTCATGAGAAAGACATCAATTCCTTCATGAAGAGTCTGTTCCCCTGGCCCAGCCCCCTCCCTCTAGACTCTACCTCCTAACACCGCCTTATTGGAGAATTAAAGTTCCTACATATGAAGGTTGGAGGGGCCATTCAGACCACAGCAGTGGCCCTGTGTGCCTGGCTCATCTCAGTACCACATACGAAGGTAAAATCCATCCCCTCGCCTTTGCCAGCTTCTAGAAAGCCACCTGTATTCCTTGGATGAGGCCTTTCTCCCATCTTCAGGGCAGCAGCAGAGTATCCCCACATCTCTATGAACTGTTTCCCCTGTTACTGTACAAGGACCCTTCTTGATTACTTTGGGCCAACTTGGAGTACCTAGGATAATCTCCCATCTCCAGATTCTTTCTTGATCACATCTGCAAAGTCCCCTTTTCAATGTGAGGTAGTATATTCATAAATTTCAGTAATTACAATGTGCATTTGGGGGAAGAGGTGAAGCATTTTTCTCCCTGCTGACCACAGTATCCAAAAATTGGGTCACATATCCTAATATACATTGTTGCCCAAAACATAAATCAGTATAAAATCTCTGGAGGGCAATTTGGCAGTGCATATCAATATTTTAAATGGTTCTCAATGACAGAGCAATGCCACTTTAGTAATGTAATCTATGGAGCTATTTGGACACAGAAACATATGTATGAAGAAATGTACCATAACATAGTTTATTAGTGAAAACTTGGAAATAATGTAATAATCTGTAGGAAGGTAATTAAGGAAAAGATTCTGATTTATTCATATATAGACTCTAGCAGCAATTTTAAAGAATCATATAGATCCATACCTGCTGATGAGAATATTGTCCAAGATTTACTAATCTCCCCAAAATACAAGTGCATTTGTGTAGTTAGAAGGAGTAACATTCAGAGTAATATTCAGAGTAACATTATCTCTGAATATTAAGACTTGAAGGATTTATAAATTTTCATATGTTCTGAACTTTAAGCATATATTAGTATTTTTGAAGCAGAAAATTGAGCATTTTAACTAGAAAAGGTTATATTGAATTCATCTTCCTTCTCTCATGAAAATAGCTGTTTTCTTTGGAGGTGAAAATGTCTTGAACAGGCATTTAGTGGTTTTACTAGACCATTTATTCTCAGTATACAGAAACCTTAATGACCTCATTTCCTAGACCACTGCTTGGCCCTGAGAAGTCTAGGCTGCAACTACCTTATAAATAAAGTTTTATTCAGGCACAGCCCTGCCCATTTTCCCAGCACTGTGGGGGTTGGATCCTGCCAGAGGAGGAGGATCACAAGGTCAAGCCCAGCCTGAGCAGCTTAGTGAGATTCTGTCTAAAAATGAAAAAGGGCTCTGGATGTAGCTCTGTGCAAAGCCCATAATAAGACCAAATTCAGTCAAGAAGGTGCCCATTTCCAGCCGAACAGCATGTATTCATCCAGGCCTAGGTTGCTTTAAATCCCCAGTTGCCTAAAGAGACTCCATTGGTTTTAGAGCCTCCAAAGCCAAATGATGCTTTTGCTGGTCAGAACTGGCCCGGGAATCTGAGCTGAGCCACCTCTCCCTTGCACCCTCACTGAATGCTCAGGGGGTCTCTGGAGCATACAGGATCCAGGGAGATCCGAGAACCACACCCAGAGGACATGAGGAGCCAAAAGCAAATCCACATTGTAAGTACAGATTGCAAGACAAGAGAGGCACTTGGGCAGCTACTGTCCACTCTTCAGACATATGTCCCACTGTTGCCATGCTCTTCCAGTTAGGGCTGTTGGATTTCTGACCTCCCCTTGGGAGGACATCTCTTTTTGTGGGTCCTTGAAAGACTACACTCTTCCTGAGCAGAGGCCAGACCGCACTGCCCCAGCAAAAGCCAGTGGGCGGCGTCCTTCACACTCACCACAACCACCACTGTCCTCACACTTTGAAAGGCCTCTCTAGGGCTCCCATGCCTGCACCAGCTCCCCACACAATGTTTTCCCTGCATGTACCTCCCTCACATTGTGCATTATTTTCCTTACTTTGTTGAGAAGTTTCTGGTGCTTCAGGACTCAGGAGACTTACACGGGAGTAATAAATCCAGGAAAGGCCTCTGTGCTGCCCTGGCAGCTCCACCTCGGAATCCTCGTCAGCAGCTGCTCCTTCCTGTGACTCACCACTGAACCCTGGCCCTGCCCAGGAGGCCCTCGGGATACCTGCCATGAGTATTAGCCATTCTTCATCTCTGCTGTGCTCTGTGGCTTTGGTTCGGCAGAAGAAAACGGACACGGGGTGTGTGCAGGCTGTGAGCAGTCTTCTTCAGTACGTGTGGGGTTTTACTTCTTCTGCAAAGACTCACACCCTTAAACAGAGCCAAATGTAGCTCAGGAAGACGTGTTGGCTCCAAGCTGCTGCTGGCTTTTGCTGTTCCCCTCAACCTAATCTAGCTGTTTTCTGGCTTGCCTCTGCCTTGGCTGGAGTGAGGGGTGAGAATAGCTCTCTTGCTCAAGGGAAGAGGCTATGTAGAGAGCCCAGGGCTCTTCCCTGTAACACCCATCTCCTTCTTTGAGCAGTGGCACCTTGCTTACTGCACGGCACATATAAAACATCAGTCTTACCCTTCCAGAAACCGGACTTGGTGGGTGTGTCCAATAAATACAGAGCGGGGCGCTCTGCCCCTAGGCCCGTGACAATGTGGTATGCCCGAGCAGGAGCCACCCTTGAGGGTGTGAAGAGGCCACCTCATCAGTGCATGGAACTCTCCTCAGCTCTGGCAGCCTGCAGCCTGGCCTCCCCAGGCCATCCTGTTCTGTCCTCCGGCAACAACCTGGTAGCACCTGCCCAAGGGTAGAGTCAACCCAAGGGTAGATCTGGCCGGGAACTCAGACACACACAACTGAGATTCATTAGACATGCTGGTGTGTCTCTGAGAGGTGCACTTTCTGCCAAGCACCTACTGGCACACGTGGGAACTCTGTGTATTATTCACTCATGACAGGTTAAATCCTGAGTTAAAACTGCACCAGTTTTCTGGTGCCTGCTTCCCTCCACCCCTCTCAGAAGTGCCCGGCTCACCCTGGTGAGCATGTTGCTCAGCATCACCAGGCTCTGCCCAGAGGACACAACCCCATTTTCACAGCCAGGCTGTGTTCATGTATTTCAGACCTGACCAACTGACTTTCCTTACCTGAGAGACGGTAAGCGGCCCTCGAGTGCGAGCAGGACGGTCACCAAGAGTAAGCATCTTGGACAGGGCAAGACCTTAAGTCATAAATCTGGATGGAGCTCCTTTTCATGAAAAGAAATTCATCCAGCTCTTCCCCCAGATGTTCGGGAGCATGGAGACATTCGTGCACCCCGGCCAGTGGAAACCCAGAGCTTGCCCTAGAGTAAAAAGACATTTGGGGAATGGAAAGTGGGCTTATATATTTCCATTTTTCCAGGAATGGTTTAAAGTTAGGGTTTGGGGGAGGGAGGGGAGATGTACATGGAAAGCCTTGGCCTGGTTATTTGCCTAGCTCATTGGGAGGTCCCAGGAATCAAAGTAAAACTGAAAGTGGCTTGTCTTCTTCCACAGCCTTCTGGGGTGCAGCTGACAAATGGGGAGTAAGAACTGCATTTTTCCAATATAGATTAATCATTTTTCTCCACCCACTATCTGGTGCCAGTCCCCACTCATTTTCCGCTGCTTTAGAGACCATCTTTGTTGCCCAAGGGTACGCCAGCCTGAAAGAAGCAGGAGCCACAGAGTGCACTGGAGCAGTGTTTCTGCTTCTGTCAGTCGCCCTGTGACCTTAGAGTGAGCCCCACACCCCCGACCATGGCAGAAGGGAGAGCCCTCTATAAATCTCCAAGTGCCGAGTGTTTTCCAGTTTTATAAAATTAAATTAAGGAAAGGACTCCCAGACCGACTACGACAAGTGCCAAGTTTCATCCCAGCACATACCATTTTTACAGTGAGTTTTAACTCTATGAAAAATACAGGGTTATATTGAAAATGCTGACAGCCTAGAGCCAGCTCATGAAGTAATAATGCCATGTCTTTAATATTTTTACACAGCATGTCCTAGTCTGCCACTGCTTTCTTTTCTTTAGACAGCAGTCAAATAAGTAAAAATTCCCAGGGTACTACTACTTTCTTCTCCTCTTTTGGATTGTGTATTCCCATTTTCAAAACATTCTTCCCTGTGATCATTCAGTCAGCTGGGTATTGCTCTGTATAATTATTTTATCAAACCTAGCTGCCTTTTTTGTTTGAGCTATTTGGCTAGAGATGAAGAAGAGAGAGACTGTGCACTTGGAAACCTTGCTTCTGCTCATTAAAGCTAAGAGCTCACAAAAATGAACTCCGGATGTGTAGCTCAGTGAAGTGATAGACAGCTAATGAATGCTGGAGTTGGCTTGATCCATCCTGCAAAGAAGCCCACAAATCAAGCTGCTTGCCAAAAGTCCTGGTGATTTTCAGCCTGTAAATCAACAAAAAGAATCCACTGAGTAATGATCATCATGAGTTCAGAGCTTCTTTCAAGACAGGTGCCTCAAGGGCAGCCCTGCCCTTCTGCCTTATGGGTTCACCAGCATCTCCTGCACCCAGGCTGCAGGCCTCCTGGTTTCTGCCCCACATTTCTCTCTATAAGACACAGGCTGTCTCCCTCAGTTGGGTTGGTTTAGTTGCAAAAACTGGTGTAAGCTTGGGAGACAGGTTATGTCACTGAGGCCAGCTTGCTGTAAGCAGGGCCCCGGCTCATCCACGTCACAGGTCACAGCTGGCCCACTCCCCTGCTCTTGCATGAGGCTGCGGACTTGGGCACATCTGGGGCAAATAAAAGTGCAGAACTCCTTGGTCTCCGACACACACTTTCCTACATGCAGTAGCCCTGCTTCCTTTCCCCTAGTTGATATCAGCGCATCCGGATGTCAGAGCCACTAGGAGAGACGTTTTTGTCTACATTTAAGATAAAAAAATCAACCACAGATTAAAAGAGGAAGAAACTTCTCATACAATCTTGTTTTCTTCACGGGTACCTTTCCCCCATTCTGAACTTCTCTTGCTCTCCAGTAAATGTGTTGAAAACAGAAAAAAAAATGTAGATGAAACTAGAAAGAAAAAAGCTTCACACATATGTGAATCGCACTTGGCTTTGGCTCAGCCGAGAGCCACAGAGGGCCTAGAAATGGGCAAACAGCATATTTTCTCTCCCTGGTTAGGAAGGGTCTCTCGAGGACACTGCTGTCCAGACTCTCCTTAGCTAGGTGTCTTCCTAAAGCTGCCTCCTTGCAGCTGCCTAACAGCTCAGACCCTTGAAGAGTGGGGTCTGAGCAGCTAGCACTGCACCAGCCAACTGTCCATTTCCTAGGAGCTGAGGGCGGAGGGTGGAGACAGCTGGCACTCTTATGCCTGGGCAGAAACAGAAAGAAGAGGTGCCAGCTCCTCCCTTATACACTGTCAACTTCTTCATCAAAGCAAAGTCAAGGCGGAGGGGATTGGTTTATTGTTTGGCTTCTTTGGGGGTATGAGATGCATTAGTACACAGTTTGGGTGTCCTTGTAAATGGCACACAGAGAGAACACTCGTCTCCAAAAGCTGATTGATACTTCTTTGACTTTAACAAATGAGAAATGTCCATGACAGAAAGAAACCCTGTTACAGGCCAGGTTTTCTCGTTAGCAGTGAAACAGGGATAATTACTCACTGGGAACATATGCAGTGGGAGTTCATGTTAGATTCCTTACTTTACTCCTGTAGCAGGCAACCCTGGGAGACCGTGGAGACACACAGAGACGCGCACAGCAATGTGTACATGAAAGCGGAGGGCCTGCACTACAGTGCACTGGGTCAGGAAGAATACCAACCTTGAGCACAAAGGGAGTTTTATGGAGAAAAACCTCCTATGTGCTCCATTAACAGCACTGAAGATTAGTAATGGAAAAGGCAGGTGACTGGCAAGTTTGTTCATTGACTTTGGTTATAATTCATTTACTTCAGTCTTTCCTTTAAAAACTGTAGGAAAATAGACAAAGTAGAGTTTCTTAAGAGCATTTTCAATCCAAAATGCATTGTCACATGCGCTAGGAATACACTCTCTGTGGTTTGTGTCCTGATGTGAAAGAGACAATCATATCTGCTGGGCAAATGGACACCACCGTAGGAGCGGGAGAGCATTTAGGGTTGTCATCAAGGTCTGGACTCACACCTTGTAACCAAAATTCAAACAGCAGCAACTCAAACAAGGCAAAGGTATATTTCTGTGTCAGGCCATGGTCTGAGAAACATGTTCCAGGCCACACACTATGTCAGCCAGAACCAGGGGTAAATCTCTCCCACTTCCTTGGGCTCTGACATTCTTGGAGCGTGGCCTTCTCCACTGTGTGAGGACTGTGAGTGATCACTGTCTTCAACAGAACTGAATGAATGAAGCTGAACCAGCAAGAATTTTTGAGTTGTTGATTATAAAATATTTGGGAAGTGTTTGCTGGAACATCAGTTTTGTTTGGTTTTAACCTACTAAAACCTTATAGAAAAGCATAGACTGAATAAGTAGAATATCTAAAAAGTGACTGGACCCTGAGTCATTCCTCAAGATTAATGATTTAAACAATGTAAACGCCTTTGGAAAACCATGAACACTGTCACTTTCAGGCAGAGTACAGTACAGTGACCCCATGGCCACATCATTCACCTTCAGTAAGCAACATTCCACCTTATTTCATTTGTATCCCCCACTGCCCCTCTACCCTACTCAATTGCTTATTTAAGTAAAGCTTGTATACATTGAAATGAATAAATCTTAACTGTACAATTTAACAGAGATGCCCATAAAGCCATTCTTCTCTAACATACATTTGACCATTCTTCTATCTTTGTTTTACTTTGGTTCATCCCTGTAACTACATCTTCATTTTCACAGATCTTTTTCTATAATGTGTTTTCTATTAATCCTATTCGGTAAACTCTTTTTTTCAGAAAATATATGTTGGAGCTGGGGATGTATAGTGCTCACCTAGCAGACACAAGACCCTCGGTTAGATCCATATCACTACAAACAAAGGGATATATTTCATCTATAAAAATTTGATTCTTTTTGTAACTTCCATTTTTTTCCTCAGTATATGCATATTTTCCTTTAAACACTTAAAAATTCTAACAACCAGTTTTAATATTCTTGTCTGCTAGTTCATCATCATTATTTCTGGGCCTATTTCCATTAACCAGTTCTTGTCCCAGTTACAGGTCACACATTTCTTGCTTCTTGACTTGTCAACAATATTTGTCTAAGCCAGGCGTGGTGGTGCATACCTGTAATCCCAGCACTTGGGAGGCTGTAGCAGGAGGATCACCATGAGTTCGAGGCCAGCCTGAACTACATAGCAAAATCCTGTCTCAAAAAAAAATTGGAGGGCTAGGGATTTAGCTCAGTGGTGCCACTGCCTGCTTCGCAAGCACAAGGTCCTGAGTTTGATCCCTAGTATGAAAAAAAAATTTTAATGAAAACTTTAAAAAAAAGAAATATTTGTCTATAGATTTTGCAGTGCAGATATCTTCAATATCTTGTTATCTTCCTCTCAAGATTGTTAGATTTTCTTCTGTTAATCAGTTATTTAAATTTCTTGTATAATTGATACTGTGTAATAGGAAGAAAAGGTCTGAAGGAGTTGGGGAAGTGGGAGGAGTAGGGGAAAGGAAAGAAGGGAAAAGAAAAAATATGAGAAAAGGAAAAAAATGGAAACGATCTTTACAAATAGGGAAGGGGAAAAAAATAAGAACCAAGATACAACATGTAAAGATACAGGATCCCAATGATGAATGTAACTGTATTTTATACCTAAAATGTACCAATAAACTTAATGGAAAAAATAAATTAAATAAATTTCAGTTTGATCTTTGTATGCTTAGTTAGGCTAGGTCTAGGGTAGCCTTTACTCTGAGGCTTTTCTGGGTTCTCTACTGAATGCCCCAAGGATCTGTACAGGTGCTGAACTCTACTTGGTCAGCACTTGAAGTGCTTTCAGCCTAATTTGAGATTTGGGAAATATCAAGCTCACAGTTTCCTGACTTCTCTTCACTCAATATTGTAGAGTTTAACCCCTGAGCATATACATCTTCAGCTGGCCAAAGACTGCAGAGGAATTTGTGTAGATTTCTGTAGCTTTTTTCTATATACCACCCCCATCTTTGGAATTCTCAACAACTTCCAGTTGCCTCCATGTCTTAAACTCTATTCTGTATTTCATCAGTCTGTCCAAACCGTTGTGCTCTGCTTGGGATAGCCCTCTGTTGTTAGTTGAATTGTGAACATCACCCCCCCGCCCCCTGCTCAAAGTTGTTAAAATCCTAATTCCAGTACCTGTAAATATGCCCTTATTTGGAAATAGGGGCATTGATAAGAGTGACCAAGTTAAGATGAATTCATTAAGCTGAGCCCTAATCCAATATGACTGCTATCCTTATGGGAAGGTGACATTTAGTTGTAGTGACAGGCAAGCTCACATGGACACGAAGACAGAGATCTCTCCCTGTCTTAATCCTACATAACCTCCATATATGACACTTCTGCCATGAGCCCTTCATTGGCATATCTGTGCTTCACTTTACATTAATCCAGGTAGTGCAGATAAAGTCACTTAGCTACCCAGGGGAGGGGGAAAAAGTAGTGAGGATAATGAGTCTGAGATGATGTTGAGAATTCTTAGTGCCCAAAAGCCCTTTAAAGGTCACCTCATCAGAACCTTAGTGTAGCTTGAATCTTCAAATGTTCCCGTGTACAAATTAGAAAACTGAAGCCAGAGAACCTATCAAAACCTAGAGTTCTCCCTGAGAAACAGGAATCTGCAACTGAATACGAAAGTAACAAAACTAGATTTCTTTCTAAAACTTTCTTAAAAGCTCATCTTCACTTAACATCTTTCACAAGCAGGGTGGAAGGCCTGGCCACATGGCTAAGACTCAAGACCCAGATGGGCCAAGAGGTGTCCTGCTGCTCACTATGGCCTCTTCTTCCAAGAAAAAGGGAGGATTGTGAATGTAATTCTTGTTTGTTTGTTTTTTGGTACCGGAAATCAAACTCGGGTCCTTGCGCTTATGAGGCAGGCAGCAGAACCACTGAGCTACCACCACCAGCCCATGAATGTAATTCTTAACAAATATGCCTCATGTTCAGCTGGCTAAGGACTAGGACTCCCAGAGAAGTGACTGCGTCAGCCACAGAGAACAGTCTGAGGCTGCTAGCACTCTTTTTTCTCCCTAAATATTCTCGGAAAGTCAATCCTGATGGAGTTAGAAAAATAATTAGCGTTAATATGAAAGATTCCCTGGCTGAATATTCCTGGTTGGCTGGGAGCAGCAAGTTTCTTATTTACCAACTGAGAATCTAGTCAGCCTCAGCAGGCCTCTGACCAGACTGACCAAAAAATATTTTGTAGCATGTGTCCAAATTCCATTCCTTGCTAAGGCTGAATAATATCCCATCATAATATATTTTGCATTTCCCGTATAATGCTGCTGCGAATGTTGGGTATAGATATATTTTGAGACCCCACTTTTGATTCTTTTGGAAGTGGACTTGGTAGACTGTACGGTAATTCTACGTTTAATTTTTTGAGGAACTTCCATACTGTTTTCCTCAGCAGCTGCTCAACTTTAACTCCTACTAGCAATACAGAAAAATTTCAATTTCTCCACCTTTTGCAAACATTTATTTGTTTGTCCTGTTGAATGTGGTGGAGTAACATGTGGTTTTGATTTGTATTTCCTGAAGATTAGTTGAACATCCTCTTGTCTGCTTATTGTCTATTTGTGTATCTTCTTCTGAGTAATAGCTGCTCACATCCTTTGTCCATTTTTTAAGTGAGTGGTTTCTTATGAGTTGAGTTCTTATAATCTGCATGTTAATTCTGATTTACAATCTGATTTGCACATAGTTCTCCCATTCTATGAGTTGCCTTTTCATTTACTTGATAGTGTCCTATATGTAGAAAAGGTTTTAATTTTGATGATTTTTTACTTTTTTCTCTCTTGTTATCTAGATTTTAGTGTTATATCCAAGAAATCATTGCCAAACCCAAGTTTTATCCTGTTAGCTCTTACGTTTAGGTCTTTAACCTGTTTCAGTTACTTTTTGTATGTGGTGTAAGATTGGGTTCCAGGTCCATTTGGTTGCCTATGGAGATCCAGTTTCCTAGCACCAGTTGCCAGAAGGACTGTCCTCTGCCCACCCCGCCAAATGGTTTTGGCACGCTTATAGAAAAACATTCGACCATATATTTAAAGGTCTAGCCTGTGCCGCTGGTCATATGTCTGTCTGTATATGAGTACTGTACTGTTTGGGTAATTATTCCTTTAGAGTAACCTTTGAATGTAGGAAGTATGAGTCCTCCAACTTTCTTCTTTAAGATTGTTTTGCCTGGGGCCGGGGATTTAGCTCAATGGTTCCGCCACCTTCCTCACAAGTGGAAGGACCTGAGTTCGATCCCTGGTACCCCCAAAAAAAAATTGTTTTGACTGTTTGGGCGCTCTTGAGATTCCATGTGAAATTTGGGATTTTGGATGATATTTTCCATTTTCAGAATATGTCAAAGGGATTTCGATTGGAATTGCACTGAATCTGTAGGTCACTTTGGTAGAACTGACATCTTAACAATATTGTCTTCTAACCCATGAATATAAGATGTCCTTCCATTTACTTAGGACTTTTTAATTTCAGCTGTGTAATTTCTAGTGTACAAGTCTTTCACTTCTGTTTTTGTTACTACACTTGATCTTAGCCAAAAGGCCAAGAAGTGATCCTCTGTCTTTGTTTTGTGCTGCTATAACACAATACCTGAGATAAGATCATTTATAATAAACAGAACTTTATTGGCTCATGGAAGAAAGAAGGTAGCCTTAACTGTCCTCACTGTGCCCAGAGCGGGATGCACAGAAGAGACAAGACATTCCAACTGAACTGAGGGGAAACTTCTGGTGTGTATAATTCTTAGTGATTTAACGTGTATTCTTAAACTTCCAAATAAATTTTCTACGGAACCTAAGTTGTTAGGGCCACAACAACAAATTAAGCAAGTAGTCCAACTTTAGAAGCAATATGTTTTTTCTCACAATGGGAATCTGTTTATCTTACCAATTCTAAGCAGCCAAGCTTTGGGTATACACAGTATCTCCATTTAATATCTTGGAATTCTAATGTAGCGAAATGTGTTCTGTGATTATGCAGACAAGTATGATACTGTACATGTCCAATTTGGGCTTTATGAAAGTTTTTAAAAGACCTAATTTATAGAGAAATGAGATTAGTGTTTAAATTTGTTTTCCTAGTCTCTGTTGAACATTTTGACTTCAGAAATCAAAATTGGGTAAAATGGAGGCAGATATTAGACTTTCACCAATACAGTTTGATTAACTGTTACAACACAGTCTGTTTTTTCCAACAGACTACATTTGAAGTAGCAAGGTTTTTTTCCTGAATAAAATGAGTATAGGAACTAATTTAGAAAATGTTCAGTGAATGAATATTAATTGCATCATTTTTTAGTTAGTACAGGGATACAGACAAAAATAGGTACTTTATGTTCTCTAAGAATTTTTACTTAATGGAATGACTGTCACCCTCCCGTAAGCCCAGAGGATAAGAACATCTGTAGGTTGCCTGGGAATAGCAGACATAACATGCCAGGGGTGGGGCCATGTTACCTGTGTGGTTTCCAGAGCCAGCTAGAAGCTGAGACAGCTCCTGGGACTGTGTCCTTCCTGCCTGTCCTGACTCCTCCTCTCCTCTCTTCCAGGCTGCCCCATCCAAGGTCACCCCACACCCAACATCACCTGGTTCCACGGCGGTCAGCCAATCGCCACCACCGCAGGACTGACGCATCGCACCTTAGCAGCTGGACAGATCCTGCAGGTCGGGAATCTCAGTGTCGGGTCACAAGGAGAATTTAGCTGCCTGGCTCAGAATGAGGCAGGGTTCCTCACACAGAAGGCATCTCTAGTGGTCCAAGGTAAGCAGCCTCACAGGCTTTGGGTGCTGAACTTGGATTAGAATAAGAGCGCCCACCTGGGAGTCTAATTCTGTAATCAAGCAAAGTGATCTCTAATATCCAGTGCTCTCCAGGGCATGGAAACCAATGCCAACCCATGTTCCAAGCAGTGAGACCCTCCTCCTTCTAGCATGCATAGCTTTTCCTAAGAGCTCCCAGGCCCTATCCCAGCTGAACCTGCAAAAGTCGGTGCCACCTTGTAAATGGGTCCTTCTACTCATAATGTGCTGTTGCTTGGAATCAAATAACCACAGTTTATCAAAGTTGGATGTGCTTTTCTATGCTGCTTTAACCACCAAAGGATAGGTCATGAGCACGCACAGTAGCCTGTTTTGAAATGGAAGCTTTATCTGCCGGATCAGTTTAAAAAATAAACAAAAACTGGACATAGTGGCACACGCCTGTAATCCCAGCACTGGGGAGGTTGAGGCAGGATTGCCAGTTCAAGGCCAGCCTGAACTTCATAGTGAGACTCTCTCTCAACAAAATACACACACACATACACACACACACACAAAGCCTCTCGATTTCTCGAGTTCAGCAGTGTGTGCACTGCCTTCTTCCTAGAGGGCTAGGGCTGTTCTGGTGCTGGCCTTATGTTCTCAAGAGGACTTTCCAAGAGGCTCCTTTCTCTTGGCCTGGAGAAGAACAGCCTGAAAGCCCGGGTGGCTCCTGCCTGTGCCTTCCGGGAACAGGGGCAGGCCTGGCATGCACTGTGCTAGGAAGAGCTGCAAATGAGCCCAGCGCAGGGAGAAGAAAGCCCAAACTGGCCTTTTCACAGAAACGAGGGAAGCTTTGGAGTTTTCCACAGGCTAGTTCTGTGACCCGTATGTGATACTTTTAAGGAAATAAACTCACACTACATATATTCCAAAATGGAAGATTCTTTGGGAAGGTCCAGAGTTCTGTGCCAATAGGAGACAAATGGAGGGAGGCGGCAGAGATTTTTCTGAGCATATAGATTTTCCTCTTGTGTCTTCCCCTGCCATTTGGCTTTCCAGACAGGAAAACAAATGTTCCATTTTCTTACCAGCCAACTATTTTCTGCTTAGAACCAGAATACAGTGCCCATCTGTAATTTTTATAATACACAAGTACTTGCAAATAAGCACTCAGAATTTACTAGCCACATTTATTTTTGACAGCTTTTCTACCACTGAGTCCCAGACCCCCAAAGAAATTTGCTTTTTCACTGACATCATTGTCTCAAGAGAGGAGAGCTCTCTGGATAGGCTGTTTCTTGAAACATTTACAAAATGATTTGATACTTTTAATTATGATTCCATTTCTGATATATTTATCTCTCTCTGTGGACAAATACAGACACTTTCTGGTAAATGAATCAGAACAAAGTACCTTAGCAAGGATGGTAAAATAAAATGAGGCTGGGTGCGGACTGAGTATTCCCTGTATGCCCTGCACTGGGCGGGCCTTCATGGTCACTCTGTCCAGGCCTCAGCAGAGCTTATGAGGCAGCTCACCACTGTCACCTTAGGGACCGGCCAGCTGAGGCTCGGGAGCACGGGCCTCTCCCAGATGGTTGGTAGAGCCTGTCCCTCGGCACGGCCCTCTCCCTGCTCACAGGCGGTAACACCAACTCTCCCCCGCTCCCCCCACAGATTACAGGTGGTCTGTGGACAGGCTGATGACCTGCTCAGCGTCCTGCGGTAACCGGGGCGTCCAGCAGCCCCGGCTCAGGTGTCTGCTGAACAGCACTGAGGTCGACCCGGAGCACTGTTCGGGGAAGGTCCGTCCTGCTGTGCAGCCTGTCGCCTGCAACCGGAGGGACTGCCCTTCTCGGTGAGTGTTCCTGCTGGGGACCTGGCACCCAGCTGGGCCACACTGTGTGGGCAGACGCTGCCCACGGTGGGCGTCACACACTGCTGGCCAGGCCGCATGTTCGCAATGAGGCTCCTCTCAGCTGCTGTTCCCCAGTGGTGGCTGCTGGCCTTCCAAGTGGTGGAGAGCGCTGAAGTCCTCAGACAGGGAGTGGTCCCAGCCCCTGGAGAGGTAGCTCCACCTGCAGTAACAATCTAGCCCTCGGCTTCTTGGTAAGAGAAAGAAGTGCTTTCTGTTGAAGTGCTAGGAGGCATTTCAGGGACGACCCCAACCCCTTTCCGTCTCACTTTGAATGCCTATGTTAACCAGTATTACAGTGCAGTTGAGGAAGTACCATCTTCTTTTCTGCAGTGAGTTGTATCTCACTAACGTTGGAATGAGTCTCCACGTCCTATAATTACCTTCACTTTGGATATGCATTCTCGGTGTTCAGGCCCCTGCATTTGACCTGAGGATGCTCAGAGTCTGTCTCTTAATCTTCTTCGAACTTAGAGAAGCAGAGTCCTACCAAGCATGCACCCCCAGCCAGGCTCCAGGCAGAAGCTAAAGGGCAATGAGTGGGCTTGGGGCTGGCACCAGCATGGTGCTCAGAGCCCGGGGAGACGGCTCGCCCTGCAGCTCTTCACAACCTCTCTGCAGGGCTTCCGTGCACTCCGACAGCCACTTTGTGTTTGCCACTGAGTCAGAAGGAACAGCTGAAACCAGGAGAGACTGCATGAAATACGAACACACTCATTAATATCAGCAGTTTGATTTGCTGACAGGAAGGTTTCCACAGGAATGATTAATGTCCTTTTATAACTTTCCTGAACGGTAACATAGCCCATACCTCTTCTTTCTCAAAACTTCCACCCCAGCTCCTGAAAAAAAATCACTGAAATGTATATTTAAAAATAAATGTTGATGGAAATGCAGTTCTGACATCCACCAGGGATATGAGAGACTGGAAGACAGCCCTTGCCAAGCCATGTGAAATGAAGAAGAGATCTTTGACATGCCAGGAACTTTTAGATTGGATTTGGTGATGGTCAGAGTCAATCAGCCCAATTTAGTTCTGCAAATGAAATAATAGTGGCTATATCTTCTTAGGTTTCAATGCCCCCAGGTGTTTTAAAACACCTCATGCCTACTTCCTAAGTGGCTCTGCTCCTGTGGGTTGCTCCAGGGCACAGGAGCAGGGAAATTGCCGCAAAACTAAATAAGTCACAGATCCAGATGCAGGAGGAATTTGCTTCCCTTCCCACCGCATTCCTCTTCTGAAAGCCAGATGTGGCACCACTTGGCTAGGAAGTAGCCATAGGTTCAACTCCGACAGGTCTTCCTGCCCGACTTCCTGAGCATATTAGCATCCTTCATTGTATCCTTCCTGATAATCTTTTTAAATAGAATAGCTAATATCTAACTTCATGTTAGATAAGTACCCCACACACACTTAGTATTAAAACTAGTTTTCTCTAGTTTTCTTTTTTTGTTTTTTATTTTCCTATAGTACATGAAGAGGCTGAAAAGCATTACTTTCCTCATTATCTTTCCAAACCTATCCCCTTTCCCTTCTCCTTGAGAATTACCCCAGGGTACACACAGGCAAAGAGAACTCCAATGTGCTTGTATATGGACCAAGAACTTCACCACATCCTCAGATTATACCTTGGCTTTGTGAGAAAAGCTCTTTCATCATATTCCTCTTAAGTCTCACTTCTGGGGTCTCAGACTGTAGTTGAAGCTTAACATTCTGGAAACAAATATTTTTATCACATATGCAACTCTCTAAGATGTATAAAACTTAAAAGGCTGATTCATGGATGTGGACAATTGCCCCAGAAATCTGAAAGGAACTTGGCTTCTAAAAGAGTAAAGATATCCAGTGGAACATAGTTAAGCTGAAATCAAGTACAGGATACTACCAGATAGCACCTTACGTGAGGCCTGATTGCCTCCTGGGCCAAGAGATAGCCCAGCTTTGGATCTGACCTGCTGGGAAACTCCCTGCTCTCTACTAGAAAGTACCCACCCCACAGCGCAGTGGGAGCAGCAAAGGACATCTCCAGAGCAGTCTGTCTGCAGTCTCGTAGCCTTCAGGCAGCTCAGGCAACCGACCCTCAAAATAACTCTTCTATGATGTACTTTTTGGTGAGTGTCCCACGTGTATCAGTTTCCTGAGGCTGCCATAACAAACCACCACAGACAGTAGCTTAAAATAACAAAAGTTTATTCTCTCACCATTTTGAAGGTCAGAAATAAAACGTCACAGTGTCATCAGGGCCGTGTGCCCTGCAGAGCCCACAGGACATGATCTGCTCCTCACCCCATCCATTTCCCAGGGCCTCCAAGTGCACCTTGCCTTGTGTCTTCTCCACCTCCTCTTCCCTGTGTGTTGTGCCTTTCCCCTATGAGAGCTTCTCTTATGATGATGCCTGGGATCTACCTCCATAATCTCCCCTCACAGCCCTTACTTATGACTGCAGAGACCTTTTTGCAAATAAAGTAACATCTCCTTTGGGGGAGCTGTTCTTCACCTGCTATTCCAGGTAAATACTAAGAAAGGACCATGGTGACAGGGACAGCAAGGCTGCTTTCCCGAGACCCAACCCTCTGGGGCCCTGACCTTCTCCCTCTCCTCAGGTGGATGGTGACCTCCTGGTCTGCCTGTACCCGGAGCTGTGGCGGAGGCATCCAGACCCGCCGGGTGACCTGTCAGAAGCTCAAGTCCTCTGGGTTCTCCACGCCCGTGCCCATTGACCTGTGCAGCCAGCACACCAAACGCCCTGTGGACACCCAGGCCTGTAACCAGCAGCTGTGTGTGGAGTGGGCCTTCTCTAGCTGGGGCCAGGTAAGAGCTGGAGGTTTCTACCTGAGAAATGAATCTGAAAGTGTACAGGGGCCATGGTAGGAAGTAAAATTTACCTCTTCTATGACAACTCCGTCACTGACCCCACCAGTATCACTTCCTCATTCCTGGACCCCAGCGTCTCTGATATTTTTCCTCAACGTTGACATACCAGTTCTATTTTTTTTCTTTTGACTTCCCTCCACCCTGAGGCTTCCAGCTCTCCTCAGGCCATCTGTGAGCCCTCAGGCTCCCTCTGTAGCTCTGCGTTCCTTACGGCCACCTCTTCTTGTTGGCTGTGCTGGGGATGGTGACGTAAAGTTCTGAGGAGGCCCAGCCAGGGGCTGCAGGGGTGCTGGAGGAACTTCTCTAAACAGCCCCATCCAGACTATACCTCCAGAGAGTAAAGTCAGTAGCTCTAGGGTGGGAGCCAAGCATGGGTAATTTTTAGGAACTTCCACAGGTCATTGTGATATTCAGCCAGGGTAGAGAATCATTGTTCCATGCCAGGAAATATGGAGGCCTTATATGATCACTTTGAAACCAATTCCTTCTTTGATTCTAATTCTAGAGGTTAACATCCAAAGCCAAAATAAGCCCAACAGACAGCAGCAGTGGGGAATCACTTGACCCCAGGAGCCCAGGGATGGGGCCGCCTCAGGACATAGAGGAGGGACCACAGTGATTCTCTGCATTTGGAGAGGAAAATTCATGCTTAGTTATGATTTGAAAAAGGAGGTCAACACAAACTGCTGAGTGGGGTAGTGGTTGATCAAGATGAGCAATGACATATACCATGCCATGACAGCAGCTTCCCAACATTGGGGGTCACTATTGTGTTCTCATTATTCTGGGCCAGTCAGGAATTCTAGTCATTGTGTCACCAGATGGAGTTCAAGGAGGTCCTCAAAGAGGAGAAGAGGGACCTCAGCTTCCCTCAGGTAGGTTCTTGGCTCATATGGAAAAGCATTTCAAGACTCATCACTGAGAAGGTTAGGCAGATTTATTAACAGAATCAAAGTACACACTCAGCAAAAAAGTGCAGGGCTCAAGGGGTAAGGTGCAGTGGGGTCTGGCCTTGGTTCTTGGGACACCCTCAGAATGGGTGATCTGGAATGTTTAGTTTTTGAGTTTTATTGTAGACCTAGTGTCTGTCAGGCTACTCCCATTAGTGAACTAAAGAAAAACCTGACTCTATCAGTTAGGTTAACTTCCAAGCCATTTGCATGTGTTTGAAGTTTAAAGATCTGGCACCCAGTTAGTATTGCTATTCAAAGGCAGAAGTGTGTGAAGTTTGTGGATTTATAGAAATGTATGGACTTACTGTATCTTCAAGACCCTTGGGAATTTAGGAGGAGTCTAGAAGTTAAAAAAAGCCTATAGGTGAAAAAGCACATGGTAACCTTGGTTCACTTTGTCTTGAGGCCACAATTTTCTCAAAATTATAATTTTTTTTGTCTCCTTTCTACCTATCTTTATTTCTTCTATCATACTGCAATTAGAGGCCTAGCTTTTCCCCAGTCCCTGTGGGTAAGGACTCTTAATAGAACAGTTGTCTTACTTATATTATCCCTCCACCATTTTAGAAGTTGGCATCAAAGTAAATCAGGTGTGGCAGTTCTTGGGCAAATGACATAATTGTATGTATTGTATCTCCAAAAGTGTGTGTTCATAACCTGCTGGAGCTCTACCAGGCATGTAAGAGCTGCCTGACAGGCTGCTGTTCACATCATACCCAACAGCTAGGTGTTAACATCTATAAGGTATGATTGAAAATATGTTTACATTTTTAAAAATTATTAGAGTAAAAAACACCTTGCCTAAATTACTCCCCCTGAAAAGAGTTCCCTTCACTTCAAACATACTCATCCCATCATCCTTCTCTCTTTCTGAAGCAGTTCTGAATGAGATTTCTTTCATTGTTTCCTGGCAAATTTGCTTTGAGCTTATAGAAATGCTACTGATTTTTGTATGTTGATTTTAAATCCTGCTACTTTACTTAATTCATTTAGCAATCTTAATAGTTTGAGGAACTATTAGACATTAGGTTTTTCTTTGTGTAGAAAAGGGGAAATTTTGACTTAGTCTCTATTTGTATGCCCTTTCCTTGTCTCTCTTGCCTAATTGATCTGGCTAAAACTTCTTATATTCTGTTGAGTAAGAGCAGGTAAAGTAGATACCATTGTCTCACTCCTGATATTAGAGGAAATACTTTCAGCTCCTTCCCACTCAGTATGATGTTGAGTTATAATCTAGAGCTAGAATATCCTCCGAAGGCCACATGGTAAAGGCCTGGCCACCACACTGTGATGCTCATGGGAGGTGGTGGACCCTCCAAGAATAAAGCCTAAGAAAAGTAAGTTGGTGTGCCCATAAAGGAAATATGGGGAGGCTGCTCTCTTTCTCTCTCTGCTCCACCCCTCACCACAGGCCCAGAAGCAACAAAGTTGGCTGGCCATGGACTGGACCCATGAGCCAAAGTAAGTCTTTTCTCCTTATAGTTATCTCAGGTATTTTGTCATAGTAATGGAGGTGTGTTTAACACATTGGGTTTGTCATATATAGCCTTTATTATATTAAAGTACAATCATCCTACCCCTAATTTGTTCAGGGCTTTTATCATGAAGGGATGTGGAATTTTATCAAATGCTTTTTCTGCTTCTGTTGAAAATCCTTCATTCCACTGATATGATATATTCATTCATTTGCTTATACTGAACCACCATTGCATCCCTGGAATGAGACCAACTTGATCGTAGTGAATGATCTTTGCTAATCACTTATGGAGAACTTTTAAGTATGTTCATTAGAGATGTTGATCTAGTGTGTGTTGGGGGTGGGGTGGGGGGGTGTCTGGTTTGGGAAACAAGATAATCCCGGCCTCAGAATGAGTTTGGAAGGGTTCTCTCCTTTTCAATTCTATGGAATAGTTTGAGAAGAATTGACTCTTAAAAAGTGGTAAAATTCAGCAGTGAATCCATCTATAGCCCTGCACTTTTCTTTGTTGGGAGACTTTTTATTATTGATTAGACCTCAATACTTGTTACCAGTCTATTCAGGTTTCTTATGTTCTGGTTTGCATTAGTCAGCTTTCTGGTGCTGGGACAAAATACCTGACATACACAATTTAAATATTTTGGCCCATGGTTTCAGGTATTTCAGCCCATGACTAGCTGGCTTGAAAGTAGAAACATCAAGGAGGAAGGGCATAGTGGAGAAGAACTGCTGAGCTCATGGCAGGCAGGAAGCAGAGAGTAGAGAAAAGAGCCAGAGAGGAAGGGGCTAGGGACAAGATATAGTCAGAGTGTCCACCATCACTGGCTCCTTCAGTTAGGGCCCACCTCCCAGCAGCCCATCGGCTAGGGACTCATTAACAGGTCAGTGCCCTTATGATCCAATATGAATCTCTGAGTAACCCTTCAGAGTTAAACCATACCATGATTTGATTTGGGGAGCTAATGTGTCCAGAAACTTCTCCATTTCCTCTAGGTTTTCTAATTTATTAGCATATAGTTTTCCATAATAATGATCCTTTGTATTTCTGTCATATCATCTGTAATGGCTTCTTTTTCAGCCCTAATTTTACTTATTTGAGTCTGCTTTTTTTTTCTTGGTTAGTCTAGCTAAAGGTTTGTCAGTTTATCTTTTCAAAGAAACCTTTGTTTCATTGATCTTTTATATTTTTTTTAGTCTCCATTTCATTTATTTCTGCTCTGACTTATGTTTCTTCCTACTAATTTGGGGTTTGGTTCTTGCTTTTCTAGCTCCTTGATATGCATCAAGTTATTTATTTGAATTTTTTTTTTTTTTGGATGCAGGCACTCATTGCTACAAACTTCTCAATACTGCATTTCTTGTATCTACATATTTTGGTATGCTGTGTTTTCATTTGTTGAAAGAAATTTCCATTCTGACTTTGATGACCCAACTATTCATTCAAACGTGTGGTTCAATAGCCATGCATATGTATAATTTCTAAAGTTTCTTTTTTCTGACTTCTAGTTTTACTATCATGATCAGAAAAGATACAGTATATGATTTAAATTTTTCTTGAATTTGTCTTATTCTGTGGCATAAAATATGGTCTATTCTAGAGAAAGATCCATGTGCTGATGAAAAGAATGTGTATTCTGCAGCTGTTGGATGAGCTATTCCATAAATTTTCTGCTAAGTCAATTTGATCTATAATGTAGTTTAACTCTGATGTTTCTTCATTGATTTTTGCCCTGATTATCTTTCCACTGAAGAAGGTAGTACGATGAAATTCCTGTTATTGAGTTAAAGCTTATCTCTCTCTTTAGGTCTAATAGTGATTGTTGTATAAAATTGGATATTCCAAAATTAAGTACATATAGATATACAATAATACATACTTCCTAGTAAATTGATTCCTTGATTACTATATGATGGTGACCTTCTTTATCTCTTATGATTTTGATCTTAAAGTCACTTTTGTCAGACATAAGTATAGCTATTTCTGCTTACTTTAGGTTTCCATTTGCTTGGAATATCATTTTACATCCTTTCACTTTCAGGTTTTTTGCCTTTACTTGTAATGTGAATTTCTTGTAGGCAGCATATTTTTTTTCTTTTGCCATTCAACCAGTTTGTGCCTTTCAACTGAAGAATTTTGCCCATTCCTTCAGGGTTATTATTAATAGGTAAGGACTTATTTTTGTCATTTTGTTGATTTTCTTTTAGGTATTTTGAATATTCTTTGTTCTTGTTTTTCATCTTTGTGGTTTCATGGTGTATTGATAATTTTTCATGTTTTTTCTCTTATCTACTCTTCTGAGATTTACATTTTCACATTCTTTCATAGCAATTATGTAGGACCTCTCAAGCATCTTTTGTAGGGCTGGCCTGGTGATCAGGATAGTCTGGGGATATACAGTATAGTGGTAGAATACTTACCTAAATGCATAATGCTCTGAGTTTGATCCTCTACATTTAGAAAAAGGGAAGGAAGAAAGAAAATAAATGAAAGAATTCCTTTTTTCTTA